TTCTTTTTATGCGAGTTTTTCCGAGAGCCAAGGTGATATATATATGTAACCCTTTAATCTAAATATAAAAAATTTATACCACCTTTTTGATTTAAAAAAAAAAAATTCTAAAGAGTTCCCTTATTACCTTCCTAAAAGTCACTTAAAAAAAAAATATTGCACACCAAAAGATAAACCCTTTGTACTAATTAATTAGTATAAAAATGAGATGAATATTTTTCTTATTTGTTGAGAACAAAAACTATTGTAACACCTTATTTGAACCATTTTATTTCTATTTATGATTTGTCAAATTTCTCATCCTTTTTTTTTTTTTTTTTTTTTTTTTTTTTGGTAAATCAAATTTGACTAGAGCACAAAAAGTTGATAAAAATTCGAAGAAAAAGGATTCAATTTGTAACGGCTTAAATCAAATGAAATAATTTCTTTTTATTGTTTTTTTTTTTTTATTTTCTTTTTAGTATTCCTCATTTATCCATTTTTTTTTCCTTATCTTTTCGGAGAAGGATGCAGCAAAGCTTTAAGGTACAGACGAAACGAATTTACGTGAAAGAGAAAAATGTAGGGCAGTGAAGTGGGGCGAATCACGGAACGGTTTAAGAGAATGTCGGAATATTTGAAGGACTTACCCATTTGAGGAAACAGCAACGAGTGACGGACGATTCCTTCACCTCAGAAATATCTTTCAAAGCGTTTTACCCCAACTTCCTTTCTTTCTTCCTTCCTTCCTTCCTTCCTTCCTTTTTTACTTTTCTTACCTTGAACGGTCTCTCTCCTTCCCTACAAGAATTCAACGAAAAATAAGAATAAGAATAAGAAACATTGCGGAACATTTGTTTAAACAAAAGAAGAATAAACAATGAACGTTGATAATTAAGTTTAACAACTGTAATTAGTTCCTTAGATTTCCTTTCAATTTATTACTACACCGTATCTGACACTTTTATCATTTTATTAATATTTTCTTTATATATATATATATATATATATATATATATAATTTTCATTCGTAAACGTAATAAACTCTATAAATGTGCAGATAATTATGACAGTGGTGTGAGTCGAAAAATTAAACAAAAATAAAACGGATTTTATGATTGATTTATTTTATAATATACGAATGTAGGTTGAAAAGATTTGAGATTTTATCGATAAAAGAAGTTTATTAATTAATTATTTCCTTATAAATGTTTATTCTTCTATTTAATATTTTATTTATTAGATTATATCCGAAATGGGATTGATTTTACATGTCAAAATATACGTGTAAGTCGCGAAAAAAAGAAAAGTAACATTTGTTTAGTTTTAATTCTCGTTATTCGAAAAAATCGTATGTTAAAAATTCTTAATTAAACTTTTGTTATTCTATATCACCAAATTTATGATAATCATAGAAAAAAATCATATTTAATTAATCTCTTCATTATCCTCTGTATTAACTTTCTATCTAAATTTGATGCAACGATTTTTAAATTCCGCAAACATCCTTGTAGACAATTCGACGCTTAGAAATAAACTAAATGAAGAATAAATAAGTATCGCTAAAAGCGAAATATAAACATTACGATGGACAACAAATAAGTAAACATAAATGAAAGAAAACGTCAGTATCTTATAAATCATTGGAGAAATAGGTCAATTTACGTGTATTCCGCTAAATTTTCTCAACACGATTTTACTCCTCGATCAAAAACAAATCTTATTCTTTTTATTCGACTTTCTTTTTACGTATATAGAATTAAATTTTTATACCCATCCGAATACATCTTGTATATTACATAAATATATTATATTATATATATTATATTAATGAAAAATTTCAATTATATTTATATTATTTTATATATAAATTATATACATATATCAAATATATGTTATATTCGATCATCCCAGAAGTATCTTACTTTTTCTTAAAAAGTTTCACGTCCACAATATTTCTCATTTCTTTACTTTTCATTATTTATTTCTTATTAATAAAGCAAAGTGGACGGTACATAACTCAATCAAATAAATATTGTGCATGTAAAATTTAATTAATACAAAAAATAAAAAGACTTTCGTGATGACCCAATACAAAAAAATGTCCCTATCGAATTAAACAAATACAATATATAAATAATATTTCTAATTTTGCTCATAATATCATATCTCTCTCTCTCTCTCTCTCCCTCTCTCTCTTTCTTTTTTCTGTCGACAAAAAAATAACTTTAATAAGAAACCACGTAGCCATCACGAGTTAATACACGTAACACGTTAAAGTGTTTTCGCGGACGTCCATCGGAACCATCTATCGAACTTTTACTTAAACTTTGTTCTTTTTTTTTTTATTTTTTCCTACCCACCTCTCTCTTCGTCTCTCTCTCACACACACATCCTTTCTAGATCTCTCCTATTAATAATAAAGTTACTACTCTACATTGTCGAAAGGCAAGCTTAACGCACTTTACACAACCAACTCGAATATAGAGGTGTGAAAGTCGTTGTCAGACTTATCCACCGTTGCAAAAGTGTTTCGTCTCTCACCCCCCCCCTCTTTCTATCACTCTCTCTATCTCTCTCTCTTTACTCTTTCTCATACAGAGATATCCACGGAGAATAAGAAACTGAACGTGTCCAGGTCATAGAAGCAAAGTTTAAGAGGGATTAGCTATGTCAAAGTTAAGTCACAGAACGAGGATTACGTACACTTCACGAACGCGTGGATGTAGTTAACCCTTACACCAGCACTGATATACTAATTGAATTAGTTATTTCGAAGCGGAAAGTTAACACGGGCACGTCTACGTGAAGTTTTCAAGCTGAAATAGCTGGCAGAATCGACGTCAGCCCCTTTCACCCCTTTTTCCTTCAGCCACCTGCCCCTGCCCTTCACCCCTCGTTTTACAGACTACTACAACCACCTTTGAAAACTTCTTATTAACTCGAAAGTTTGATTTGGTATCGTTCCTGAGTGTTATTTAATTACCGATTTCGACGAATACGTGACGTTGATTTAAACGAAAAATAAAAAATACACACGCCCGCTAAAAATAAATAAGAAAAAACAAAAGGACCGAAAACAATCCCATTGCCAAAGTTCAACGCAAGGAGGGTGAAGGGGAAAGGGAAGCGGGGGTGAGGGGGGATTGGTATCGAAACAAACCTTCGATCGAGAGAAAATCAGTTGGAACGAAAAAACGCTACTCCTCGTTGGACGAATTTTAATTTTAACTAATATCGAATCGTTTGTTTTTGATTTTATTTTATTTTTTACCCCTTGTTGGTTTTTGTTTTATTTTTATTTGTTTTTAATTTTTTTTAAATCAACTTGTAAAAGATTTATTGTGAACCTCTTTCTCTCTCTCCCCCCCTCTCACGCGATAACACACGACAGAGAATAAATATATGAAAATATACTGTTAGTAACAAAAAAAAAAACAATTTTCAACAATGTCAGTTTCGTTCCCTTTTGTATTAGATTCAGCAACATTTATATTTGTTTTTTCCTTTATTTTATTTCTTTTTACTATTTATTTTATTTCTCGTAAATTTTGGAATGCTATTACAAACCTTCCTCTTCCTCTTGCTCTCTCCTCTATCACCATCTTTCACGATACGGCAACAGCAAATCGTAGCGCAAAACGTACATGTCCGATTACATTCAACGCGTGTATTACGTCGTCCACAGCTTTTGCATAATCCGCGTATATAATGAAATGGACGAAAATTAGCGATAAACTTATGTCGGAGCACTTTCATTAAAAATTCGGCGGTACTCGAGAGAGATACCACAACGGTGATACGCTGAGTTTTCCAGGGGAGGGGGCACAGAGTAAAGGGCGAGAAGGGTGAAAGTAGGTGGTAGAGGGTAGTATCGCATCGCGTGATGAAATTGGTGAGGAGGAGGGAGAGGGCGGATGGGAGTGTAGAAATTAATGGCTCGTCGGACCAACGCTAGGTCATTCCACTTGCCGACTTCGCATATAGGTTTACAGTGATAGTACCTAGTTTTGATGGTTTTCCAACTCTATCTGAGAGAGAAAGAGAAAAGCGTATTTCTCGAATTTATGAATACTATGAATAACACGTTACCATAGTGTGTGTTTAACATTACGATAACGTCAACTTTTGTTTTTGACATTTAAGAAGTAGTGTGTTAGTTCTATCGATCCCACTATAAATATATAAATATGTACAGGTTGATTACAAATGATTCATCGGGTTGCGTCAAGTTTGTGTCAAGGTTGCTTCTGGGTTTTCTTCTTTCTTTTCCTTTTCATGTACGTCATTATGTATTTGACTAGTAATAATTTGTAAAATATAATATTTTTAAATTCTATGAATCATTTATTTATATTCTGTATTTAGAAGTATTCATTAAATTAGGATTATTTTCCAATAATCAATAACGTTTATGTATATATATATAATTTGTAGAATTTATTTATACAAAGATAGAATGATATTTTTGTTGTAATTTAAGCTTTTATGAATGATAAATTTCTTTTTCTTCCTCGTTTATATATATATGTAGATCGATCGCGTTCGATAGGATTTTTTTAAATAAATAAATAGGTTCGATTAGCAATTACCAAATCGCGTGCCGATAGAACTGTATTTGTCAATGTAATCTCCAGATTGTGTAAGTGTGTACTGTTTCATATAAATATATATAAAACATACACATTGAAATCTGTGTTACAAAGGACTATCCAACTGAAGAGTGAGGTCTACACTTTTCATGCAATTACCGATATACACACGACAAGCAAACACGAATTTATAAACGATGGAAAATTAATGGTAAAGGTGACGCGATGACTCTACCTATTTTACGTTGTAGATTTTGACATCCAATTCGGGGGAAACTTAGATCCCATCTCGTTGATAAGATTCACGAAAAAATGTAATTAAATTTTTTTTAAGTTACTATCGTGTCGCATTGTGTAAATAAAGGCTTCTTTACTACATTTGTACTCTACCGTTAAATCAGTCGTATCATAAATATCTGTAAAAAAATATCACCAAATTTGAAAAAAATATACAAAAAAAGACCTTTATTTTCAATTCAAATTAATTGTCTTTTATACAGTTTATGAAATGAATAAAGTTTTTAACTGAAAAACTTATGAATGAATTCGTGGATATATATAATGTGTGTGTATGTATGATTCATACTTTTCAAACATTTATCTCCCGTGCTTGATGAAAAGCTGCCACTAGAGCATTTAATTGTATCGCCTCGCTACATCCAACTGCTACCCTTTTCTCGATTTCAGCCATTTTTATTATCAGATCTATGAGTATGTAATCTGGGAACTCAACTTTAAAAAATTATCATTACATTAAACTGCGGTCTTTCTAGTAAGTATTAACAATATTAACTTACTTTTATGTACAAATAAATGCAATTCAGTAAGTATATCCTGCAATGCGAGTCCTTTCTTTATTTTTAGATCTTGTATTTCTAATCACATGCGTTAAGGAAATTATTAGAACGATAAAAAAACAATGATAAAAATTATTCAAATATATCGAAAGGATACTACAATAGGATAATTCATAAGATTCATTTAGCAACCAGTTAGCAATATTTTTTATATCAACTGGGAGTGGATGTCCAACGCAAGAATATACCGTTTCCTCTGTGACAGATCCAAAAGCTAACCAAGTACTCTGAAGTATATTTAGTACTTTCCTCATATCGCCATTGCACAACGTCATTAATGCTTGCTTTCCATCTTCCATTACTTTCAAACTAATAATCAAAAGTATACTTATAAAATTCTATCCCTAATATTAAATAATTGATAGAAATATCGAAATGATAAATTACTTTTCCAGCTCTATAACCTCATTTAATCTTGGTAAAATTTGTTCCGATTGCAGTGGTCCAAATCTAAATTTGGTACATCTTGATTGTAAAGCCGGTATAATTTTGCCAAGATAATTACATATAATGCAAAAGCGTACATTCTCCGTATACTTTTCAATAACTGAAAAGAAAATATATTTCTTTTGTTTTCTTATAACAACTAAATTAAATAAACTTACTTCTCCTAAGAGCATTTTGAGCATCATTGGTCATAGCGTCAGCTTCATCGAGAATAATTAATTTAAATCCAGATCTGTACATAGTACCTGTACTAGCAAAATTTAAAATTTGTCCTCTGACTATACCTATTCCTCTATCATCGGATGCATTCATTTCTAATACCTATGAGTATGTACTACAATATTATAGTACTCTTATATACTGAGGTAATATTGTTAATAGATATTAAATATAAAACATGTAATACCATAGAATTAAATTGCTCAGGTTTGTAAAGTTTCCTAGCACAAGCTAATATAGTACTTGTTTTTCCTGTTCCTGGCGGTCCATAAAGTAGAAGATGAGGGAGTTGATTTTCATTTATGAATTTGCTAACTAAATATATAAACATAAAAAAACATGAATATGTAGAGGATCAGTATAAATTATGCGTTTATTAATTAAATTAATTACTAGAAAAATATTTACTCGTTTTTAGTATTTCTTCATGAGAGATGAGATCTTCCAACTTTTTAGGACGATATTTTTCAACCCTGAAAATAAAGTTATGAAAATATTGACAATCACAAGTTTCATGAAAAATGTATGTAATGATAGACTTACCATGGTAAATTGGTTGATTTCTCATTATCAGTAGCCATAATATTACTCAAATGTTTATTGTCTGTAATTAAATCTAAGGTTAGTTACAAACCCGCGCTTTATACTTCACTTATTATGGCATATTTTGAACATCTTGATTTTTTCAAATGGAATGTTTCTATTGGTCTAGAGATCGAATCAATCACAGCTAAGAAAACAAAAGTCATTATAAAGTTATAAAATGATATTTAAGCGTTTGATAAGTGCATGTTATTAGGAAATTGAAAACAAGATCGCATAAAAATCTGTCAAAAGAAAGCTTACCTCTTAAAAATATTTAACAAATATTTATGATTCGTCTCGAACGATCATTAAATTATTAATTTTATCACGATTATGGCTACGACGAGTGAGATATCAACGAACGATACAGAATTACTACGTGATCAAACACCAGAATACATGTTGCTTCCTAAAATGAAATTCAAATTAAGTTTAAGCGAATTTTGGGGAGAAGAAGAATTGAAAAATTCATTTCTAGATATTATAAAGCGCAATAATATGGCACCGTATTACCAAAAAGTTTGTCAAGATTTTTATTGGGACATGGATATGAATTTATACAACGAAATGCACGAGACTAACGTAGTTGCATGGGAAGAATTAGAAGCGGGAAATACGAATTTGAATCTCGATGAGGAAACTAAAGGAAATTGGAGAGAAATGCTTGAATATGCGTGTAAAATCGGTGACACCGATCGTGCTACGAATATTGCAACATCTATTTTCGAAAATACGAGTAATTCTTCTAGTATCCGAGCAGAAGCAGCTTTTTGTCTCTTTCGAATAGCTTATTTCAAAAGTAATGTTATTTCAATGGGGAAAACAATAAATAATATAAGCGATTTAATGGAAGGTATACATAGAAAATATTTCTGCATAAAAAATATAATTCAAATTTCTTGCTCTTTTTGCTTATCATGATTTTATCAATTTAAATAATTGCATTCATGTTTTTTTTTTTTTAGTATCTTGCAATATGGGTAGTAATTGGTGTTGTCGAAACAAATTAAAAGCATACGAAGCAATCTATTGTTTGGCAATAAGAAATTTCCCACGTGCAGTATCTCTTTTATTAGATTGCATTCCTACCTTTGAATCATACGAATTGTTGCCATTCAAGGATATAGTACAGTATACTATTTTGGCTGGTATGATTTCATTATCAAGATCAGAGCTAGATAAACGATTCAATAATAATGGAATATTGCAACAATCTTTAATTATCGAATGTTCAGCTTATATAGATTACTTAAATAGTTTGTATAATTGCCACTACGGTGATTTCTTTCAACATTTGGGATGGATTGAAATTGAGATGAAATTTGATCCTATTCTTCGTCCGCATTATCAATATTATGTTCGTGAGATGCGAATAAAGGCATATTCGCAACTTTTGCAAGCATATCGAACGCTCAGTTTAAATCGCATGGCTATTGAATTTGGTGTTACCGAAGATTTTATAGAACAGGAAATGGCACGATTTATTGCCAGTGGTAGACTGCATTGTAAAATTGATAAAGTTTCTGCTACTGTGGTTACAGTTAGCTCATCCGGTTGTGACAGAGGACAATCACCCAATGCTTGTTCCGATCGAGGATTGGTTTATCAAAATACGATCAAACGTGGCGATGTATTGCTTAATCGGTTAAAAAAATTGGGACAAGTTATTGAATTTTGATAATACCGTCCCTTCTCCTTTCTCGTGAATTTGTATTCCGCGCCGTTCGGTGTTATTTAGAATAGTATGAATTTGTTGTTAACTTTTATCTTTTTAAATTTGTGCCGTTATTTGAATTAGAAGAATTATAAGCATTTTATTTTGATTATATAAATATAATTGTGAATTTATATCATGTTAATAGAAAAAATTATATAGATTGTCGTTTATCTTTAACGACCTAACCTATAAAATTTATTTGTGCTCCTAAATGAATGAATGAACGAGCTCGGTAAAAATTATTTGTAATAATCAGGCATGGCACATAGAATATTTTTAGAACGTACTGGTATAATTCCAAAAGTAATAGCCAATGTTGCACATAAATTTAAATATTTGCTCGTAGTTGATTTCGAAGCTACTTGTGAACAAAAGACCTTATTATTACCGCAAGAGATTATTGAATTTCCTTGCATAGTATTAGATACAGATGATTTGAAAGTGAAGAATGTATTTCATCGATATGTAAAACCCAGGATTAATCCTAACCTGACATCGTTTTGCACTGAATTAACTGGAATAATGCAAGAAATGGTCAATGATGAAGATCACTTTCCAGTTGTATTTTCTCAATTCTGTACCTGGTTAAAGGAAAACAATTATTTTGATCCAATTGACAAGAGTGCTTTTGTAACGTGTGGCAATTGGGATTTAAAAGTGATGCTACCTAATCAATGTGCTACAGACAATTTACAAATACCACAAGAATTCAAACAATGGATCAACTTGAAAGAAACATTCTGCGTGTCATGTAAATATTTTCCTCGTAATTTAACAGATATGCTCTCTCACTTGAACCTTCCTTTCAAAGGTAGATTACATTCTGGTATTAGTGATACAACAAACATGGTTCAAATAATTCAAACATTGTGCAAGACGCACAAAGCACAATTTAAAATTACCAACAAGTTGGATGAGAACAAGATTTAAATCTTTTGAAACTTCAATATTTCTGTACAGTAAAAATGTATAAAAAGCCTTTATTAACATTAAAATATTGTTTTTATAAAATATAAAATACTTGTATATTTAATTCTGTACATTAAATGTTTAGTTACACTTAAAACAAGACACAAATTAATGTACGACGGCTACTTTTATCTTTACATCTCGTCTGTGATTTTCGGTATATATTTCTAATGTAGCTTCCAAACTACGTTGAACTTTCTGCTTGCATTTTATTCTTAAAGGAAATCCTTTACCAGCTGGTATCATACCCTCCGCTGGAAGTATACTAAGTACATCTGTATTAGATAAAACAGTTTCATATGGTTGCGCTACTCTGTTCGAACTTAAAATAGTCACGATTGCTTCATTTTTTATTGAAGGAATTAAGCTGACTACATCAGGAGATACTGTAAAATAATCATCGTACTTTTGTTGACATTCATTTATTTCATGGTCTCCTATTATTGTCCTGCAGGATATAGAAATAAGAATTATGATTAATTTAATATTAATATATTAGTATACTCACTAATTAACATTTAAGTAATAAATTCTCTTGTAAAACATTTCGATTATAATTCATATTAACAAATATACTTACTCCAATGGTAAAAAACTTTTTCCACTCGATTCATAAATATGACTGTTATCGCTACAAAGAGAATAAAATATTTGTGATTCATCTGCGCTATCATGCATCATAGATAATGACTCATCTGCATTAGTCTCCACGGTTAACATTATTTCATGTTGACGCACTCCATGACACAAATCGCTAAGATTGTGCTATACATAACTTGAAATGTTAATATCCAAAATAGCAAAGACAATTAATCATAAAGAAAATATTGAACACATTATATGATAAAACTTACTAATGAATCGTTAATTAAATTTAAATCCGACATCATTTGTTCCCCAGGAAAAATTTTACAGAGCGGATAAACTATATTTCTAAACGGTTCGCTTTCGCCTCCATTTAAATCACTCGCACTCTTAATTTTACTATACAACCGACGTATTCGCCAACGCGTCGGTTCATCGCCATAGATAATATTTATAGTTCCCACATGGCATACATTGGAACATTGTCGCAATAGTACTAAGTCTTCCTTTTTTGGTTGAAACTCTAATGTAATCCACTGAGTTTCTTTAGGTTCCAATAAGAGTTCTGTTGGATTTATTTGCCAACTGGAAAGCATTGAAGGATAAATAGCTGAAAAAAAATCGTTTATTTCCAGCACTTATATAGAAAATAAAATGTAGAATCAAATAAAAAAATGTGTGATAGAGGATATAAATAATATACCTTTAGGCGTTAATTTGACTTTAGCATACGAACAAAGATCACCGATATTCTCTAATTTAATATTTGCATTTAAAATCCCGCCGGAACTCAATTTGCCAAGAGGCAACCACATTTTCTCACCAATATCTTTAACTATATTAGATATAATGACTCTACCGAAACCACCATAACCATATAAAAATATCTACAAATATTTTATATTAAGATAAATGAACAATAATATATTAACTAATAACTATTTATATTAAAGAATCTCTACACGAATAAAATATTTACTGCTTTCGTAGGACGTGATTTATTATTTTCTTCTTTTTTGATCTCGTAGTGACTAAAAACAATTTTTCCAGTAGCTGCACCAATATGACGTGGACAAAATACGACAGAAAGTGTTTTACTTTCCATACGATGCAATAATAGCACAATATTTGGACTTGTTATTTGATGATCTTTAAGAAACTAAAATATTATTTACTTATTATTAATTATTTAAACAGTACACGTTATTATTTTATTTATACTTACTAGAAAACTATTATTATTATCGAATATATGAACTTGAAGTTTTATTCTGTTCTCGCTCATATTACGAATGGTAAATTCTTTGATATTACTTTTATTTGGCTTTATAGAACCCCATACTAAAGCAGCGTGCGTTGATTTAATAGGAATTTGATCTCCAACAACAGTTGAGCCAGATACTGAACTAATTGGAGAATTTCTTCCAGATCTAATACAACGATTATCATTTTATTAACTGTTATAACAAATAATATAATTATAGAATTTACCTGCTGGAATGTATACTTTGTGGTGAATTCGGAGAGATAGCATTATACAACTGTTGCGGCGTTTCACAGCGTAAATGATTTTCGTGTTCTATCTCTATAGGTACATTTTGTTTCCCAATTAAAGAGTAATAATAAGAATTATTACCAGCAGTTAACTTAATTTTAACGTGTCTGTAATGATTGTATTATTATATATAGATAATATTAAAATATTGAGAATAATGTAAACTTATCAATTTATTAATTTCACAAAAATAGCTTACCTATCACGAATATCATTTTCACGTGGCTTAAACGTTATTAAAAATTTATCTGTTGCATTACGCTGTAACATTAGACTTTCAGGTTTAATAGAAAAATCTTCAACAAGATGTGAGGAATATTCATCTTGTACTATGGATGCTGTTATTAGAATAGGCAACTTTCCTAAATTAATAATAGTAAAATATTTCATCTTTTTCTTGGGAATTTCTATAGGTAATTCGGTATCAACAAGTTGTATTTTACATTGGGCTATTTTAACAAACAGTGGTATTTCTTTGATCATTACAGCATCATCTTTTTTGTTATTTGCTTGTATTAATAGTTTTGCTTCTACATTGACCAATTGATTTTGCAATAATTCTGACAAATTAAAAAAAAATTTAATAAAATTTAAATAATAAATAATAATCGAACATATTTTGTATTGTTATTACCTGAAGTTAACAACGATGAGGTTCCTTCGCATTGTACAACTGCAGTAAATTGTTCGCGAGGTTTAAGTTCATGTGTCAAATCATCTTGTAAGTTATTAATGCTAAAAATTTTGGGACCATCCTATGATTGTTAAACATACTTTATATTAAGCTGTTAATATACTTTATAATTAATTCAGCTCGAATAATTAACAAGAAAAGAGAAAAATCTTACGTGTACAACCGACAGTGTTATAGGTAGAATCATATTATTTTTATTTTGCAATTTAATGGATAAAGTTTTTATAGTATTCTCAAGAATGCTATCAAAGTCAAGTTCTTCCTGTGGTGTTAATACATTTACTTGAAGTTCCTCCGATTCAACATAGATCATGTGTTTAATTATTAATTCTTTTCCTGTTACCATATCAGTCGTTATTATATTTAATATTACTATCACAGGATTAGTCTTCTTTGTTACTTTTATACCAATCTAAATATTTACATCGTTTAATAAACATAGTAATCTATTCTATTCAAATAATTTTATATGTTTCTATTTATGTATACCTTGATGGACCGAGTTGAATTTGGTTTTATAAGGATTTTATCTTGGGGTAAATGAAGTATTAAATTTTGCTTATCTCCTTGTAATTGATATGTACTAAATAAGCAAATAATCCATTTATCTCCTGTATTCGTTAATTCGATATCCGCTTCTCTCGATATACCAACGATACAACAACAAATTTCTTGACCATTTTTGGTAAGAATGATATCTAAAAAATAATTTGCACGTGTCGACATTAATATTTGGTTTTTTTTTTAATAATTAAATATAATTGTATTTTACGAAGCATTTCTACCTTGTAATTGAGATGTTGTTCCCAAACTTGACCGTTCAACAGTTGATAATTGTTGTACGCTACAGTCCTCCTTAGATGTATATGAAATATTTTCTTGTTTGAATGATTCTTTTCTTTCCATTACTGATTTATTAGAATTTATTTTGGATAGAGATAATTTATTATCTTTTAAAATAGATTGCATATCTATTAATTGAATTTCATCTAAAATACGATCGATATATAAATTTAACATATTATTTTAGTATGATCATGATAGATTTTAAATTTAGTAGTTTAACTTAATTAATCAATAATTACAGACCGGTATCCAACTGCTGTTGAAGATTCATGGAACTTTCCTCTTCCTTTTTTAATGATATTATTTGAGGAATATCTTCCAAAATATTATTAGTATGTAAATCTAAATTAGACGTAAATGTTAACATTCTTGGCAAAGTTTGCTTAGTCTCTAATGTTTCGGTAAGGGTTTTACTATCTAATGAAAGTTTAGATGATATATTATCATCTTTAATTTTAATAGCACTTGGAGTCACAGGCATAGATCGTCTGTCTGAAGAAGAAAGCATATACGTATTGCCTTGGTCATTATTTCTTTCTAACTCTTTCCTTTTTTTTTTGGCCATTATAAGTTGATCTACTAATCTTCGCGGAGTACAATTGTCGAGGTCTTGTAATGCTTGAGCAATACTACTTAAACTCATAATACTGTGCTCTTCGATATTTTGTGTCACGTTTGTAAGAATCTGCTCCTTTTCTCTAAATGTCGAGGATCCTATAAAATACACAAATATAAATGTAATTTGAAAAAGAAATAGAAATATTGATATCAAATATTAAAGTTACCATCTACAATGGTTGAATCGACTAAAGGTATTAATTGTCTTTTTTTTTTAGGACTTTTAACAGGTATTCCTAAAGGTGGTCTTTCCGTAATATTATTTGACAAGTTTCCAGTATTTTCACTTTTTCTTTTGAAAAATTCACCGATAGATATTTTACGTCCAATGCTAGATCTAAACAAAATTAATAAAAATTAGATAAATAATTAATTTTCTTCTTAAAAAAATTAATTGTAAATAACTTACTCCACCGATACATCCAATTCTCCAATAATACCAGAAAAACACGACAAATCTAAATATTCTTTTTCCGAATTAGTTTCCAAAGGAGAATTGTAAGTATAGTTATGTTTCCAGGAAGGTTCATCAGCTAATAGATGACTATTTATTTGAGAGATAGAATAAAACTCTTCATCTTTAAATTGAGCTGCCTGTTGTTCCGCTATAATTGAATCAAAACTAATTCCTCTTGCGCTCTTTGGCGAAAAAAAAGATTCAAGTTTCTCATTTTTACTCATTTCTGAAGAACGAGCTGTTATTTCATTCAGCTTAAATACAACCTGAAAATAAAATAAGCATATTTATATTTAATATTCTTTTCACTTTTTCAATGAAAAATATTTCCAGTACTTACACTACTCGAATATTTCGGATGTATAGTATCCTGTTGTTCCGACTTATTATCAATATTATACTTAAAAGAATTACCATCTACTTGATCTGAAGAATTAACGTAATCTCTTATAGTTTCTATATTAACATCATCCTCTTTATCAGAATCTAAAAAATAATATCATTTATGAAAAATCGATAAATATATAGACATACATAAATGAAGTCTTCTATATCTTTTATATATATGTATGCGTATTAATAATATTAATTCTGTAATTACCGGAAGAAGATATTGAACCTTTAATATTGCTACATTTTCTAAGTAACTTCCTAGCGAGTTCTTGCTCAGCATCTAATTTATTGGATTCTTCTTTCATTTTATCGTTTATTTCACTTGTTTCTTCTAATACTACCAGATAAGAATAACAACATTACATTTAACTTTATTGCTAAGGTTCATATTGGCAATACTTACAACTTGATATATTGTTAAGAATACCTAACGAAGAATCATCTGACTTTAGTAACATATTGGTCTCACGTAAAGACGGTCTAACAAAATTCTCTTCTATGAATTTCATATCAAGATATTTCTTTTCAAGTCTACAAATAATTATTATTTTTAAGTTTATGTCAAATGTAAAGAAAAAGAGGAAAAGAAAAAAAAGAAAAATTGAAAAAAAATCATACGTAGACTTTCTCTGTATTGTTGACGAAGCCTTTGGCATAGGAGTGCACAATAATGTTATATCCAACTCAGTATTAGGAAATTTTGGCGGGGTTGACATTATGAGATTATAAATTATTGTTATTAATTATTATGAAAATCTTTAATATCCTTTTATCTTTTAATCTCTGAATAGGATCAAATTAAATGTTATTTTTGATGGATAATGTAATAAATAAATGAAAACAACGAACCACATCATTCGAAAGAGATCCTCTGACAGTCTATCCATTCGTTCAATGTTAACGTTCAAATTTGAAAATCTTAAAACATTGTCATGAACATAGTGAAATAGATTGCGCTTATAAGATGGCGTAAGTCGTTGCTAAAAACTTTTCAGTATTAAGTTCGTGATCAAACTTACGATTAAATTTCACTTTTATATTGATAGGTGACTGTAGTATCGTGCCGATTTCAATGCCCTCTGGATTTTCTATTTTTATGATCTCTCGTATCTGAGTATATGGAAACAAAAAAATTTTAATAAATAAATTGTTCATTTATAGAAAAAAGAGAGTGTGTTGGTTAGTGTAAAAGTTTAACATTTATTATATGCATTATTACAAAATGCAATATTTTTATAGTACGTATCAGTAAAAATTTTGTTTGTATAATTTTATAAAATTAATTAGAATTATTGTAATTTATCGACTTGTAGCAATATTAAATGCAAAATATCGTACAACGAAAGAAACATTTTAAATTCAACAAATTGGCGGCACTTTGTTGTAGTAAGATGCGCAATAGATTTGTACGCATGATTCCACGTAGTGACAAGCAGTGAAATAACATAACCTAAGGTTTGGTCTGTAAATATTTAGTTATTATAAATTTCCATTTGTTTATGGATTAAATCGTAAAGATAATCAAATAATAATAGAAAATAATACAAAATGGTGTCTGTTTTAAATACCGTTGATACGAATCACGAAGATATGATCCATGATGCTGAAATGGACTATTATGGTTTGAGGTTAGCAACATGCTCAAGTGATAATTCTGTAAAAATTTTTGACTTAAAAAATGGATCCCAGAGTTTAGTTGCAGATCTTAAAGGGCACGTAGGTCCTGTTTGGCAAGTCGCTTGGGCACATCCCAAATTTGGAAATATTTTAGCTTCTTGTAGCTATGATAGGTTGGTTCTTTTTTATTTTTATTATTTTTTTTAATTAATAATTATATATATATATATATATTGTCACACATGCAAACAATTTAAATGCAAGCACATAGATTTGACGTACAATTTAATAAGTTTTTATTTCACATATAGAAAAGTTATTATTTGGAAAGAACTCGGTGAATGGACTAAAATTTATGAACACACAGGACATGATTCTTCAGTCAATTCAGTTGCTTGGGCACCACACGAATTTGGCTTGATTTTAGCCTGCGGTAGTTCAGATGGTTCTATATCTATACTCACTAACAACGCTGATACCTGGGATACACAAAAAATAACAAATGCACATACTATTGGATGCAATGCGGTTAGTTGGTGTCCTGCGATAGATACCAGCTTTGATTCTAATAACATTCAGCAAAAGACTGGTCCTATTAAGAGATTAGCTACTGGAGGTTGTGATAATTTAGTTAAAATATGGAAAGAAGAAGGTGACCGATGGGTGGAAGAAAATAAACTGGAAGCTCACAGTGATTGGGTAATTCAATTTTGTATCATTTATATTCTTCAATTGAATTTTTAAAGAAAATTTTGTTTTAATTTAATTTTGCTTGCTAGGTACGTGATGTTGAATGGGCACCAGCAGTTGGACCTTCCAGAGGTACCTTAGCTTCTTGTTCTCAAGATCGTAGAGTTGTTATATGGACATCGAATGATTACTTAAATTGGACATCTAAAGTTCTTAATATTTTTGATGATGTCATTTGGAATATTAGTTGGTCTTTAACAGGTGGTATTTTAGCAGTTAGTGGTGGAGATAATAAAGTTTCACTTTGGCGTGAAAATTCGGAAGGTCAATGGGCATGCATTTCCGAATTGAACAAAGGTCAAGGCAATCTCAATAATACAGATCAACGTGCTTTGTAATTTAACTAGTAAAGTATATGCTATTTTATATATACAAATATACATATTAATAGAAATATATTATTGAAAAAGCTGCTTGATAGCATACACGTCCTTACCAAAATTTAAAAATATATATAACATTTTCAAATTTACATTAAAAAAAAGTAATTCCATTTAATTCTAAAAGATTTTATTCCATTGTAAATTTGCAGCTTAAAAAGTATACAAATTTGTATACACTTTGTCCAAATGTACATATTACAAGGAAAAAAAAGAAATTATATTAATTGACAATATTTATTACACAATACTTAATACATTACTTTAAACATTTGAATATTTCTTAAATTATCTATTTATAAAAATATCATAAAATTTTCATCATCTTCAATTATTGTTTTTCTTAAATTTTACAATAATGAATTAATCTTTGTATTTTATAAACATCCTGATCCTTCTTCATTTCCAACAAGAGAAAGTATTAAATTTACAATAATAGTTTATTCCATAATTATTCTTGAATGTATAAGGATGCAGCAAAAACTATATCACGTTTTATTGCTGTTGATGCTTCTTCCATTTTGCCTTTTAAAACTGGATCACCAATCGCCACAGCTGCATTTTTCATATCTTGCAATGTTTCATTAAGTTGTTGAATGACTCTGACTATAATACCCTCTTGAACATCAACTTTTTGCATTATTTCAGCAAATGATTTTGCTTGTGCCCATTCATAAACGGCTTCCATCAAAGAAAAATTCAATGGTTGCAGCGTATTTAAATGATACTCTTGTTCTAATTTATGTAAATCTTGATGCAAATTATACAAAACTATAGATTCCTAAAAAGAATAAATGGTTAATTGATAACAATCAATCGTTATGTTTTTATACTGTATAGAATATATAGTAATTTTAATAATATAGAAATTATTAAAAATAAACAAGAGATTCTATTAAGTCTTACTTTTTTTAAATGATTAAAATTAGGTGGGAGCGAAAATTCTTCATCCTTTTGTTGATATATCACAGCAGATAATAACGCAGCAATTTTAGCTGGTTCCAAAGGAGTTAATACATTTTTTAAAATAAGCTCCGTTAATATTAACTCATTAACTCCCATTTGTAATGCCACTCTACCTTTTAAAGCAACTGCAAATATAAATATAAAATGATATATAAAAATTATTTTCATAACTTTAAAAAATAAATTACTAAAATATATATAGAATATAAAAAGATTACTGACCTCTTTCATCGTTATCTATATATCCCAGACGTTTAAGTAGTGCAACCATATTTATATAATCTGGATATAAAGATAATCCTTCATCACTGAGTTTTAGCTGAAGTTTTTTTTGTTTTCTGTATAATTCCATACGATGAAATACGACTTCAAATTGTTCCTCAAAGTTTGGTATATCTGTACACTTTATTTTTTCTAGAGCTTGCATTTGTTTGCGTAAGTGTATAAATCTAGGATTTAAATTTTCAGGTACTTTCCATTTTACGTATGGTGACAAAATATCATTATTTTTTTTAGAATGTACAGATATTGCCATTAATTCTTGAACGATTGCTTGACACGTAGGTCCAGGTTTATCATTCCTATACACAATTTAAGGTTTCATATATACATTTAATAAACTTTTCAAAAATCGATTAATTATTATTTTTAATGTGTCATTTTACGTTCTCCCTTTCGAGTTCGAGTCACTTCTCACACCTATTCAATACTAACATCTATCTAATCCATGTTGCTAACCGTGCCCACGTTGCTTAACTTTAGTGATCTGACGAAAACTAGTAATCCAATGTGGCTAGGCCGTTGACTGATTTATTTATTATTATATTATTATTAGACTTACCTAAATCTAAATATTTGTCTCTTTTCCCAATCTTTCAATACCATATTGCAATCGATCTTAAGAAGATGATTTGTTATTTCGATTAAATTCCACGGAGAAATAATGATTACTTCATGCGACGGAGCTCCACATGGTATAAAATAAGTCTTTTTGGTTAAAGCGATAATATTATACCAATTTTCAGATTTTTCTTTATTAATTTCATTATCTGAATTGTCCGAATGTCTATCAATGTTAACTTCTTGCTGATTTCCATCTTTTAATACGAATACTTGATATTGATTTCCAAAGACTTTAGATGAAATGACTCCCAACAGTACACCTAATTTTCTAAAATGATTTTTATACGATACTATTACAACTCTACCCTTGGATAAACTTTTCTTCGCTTGTTTATTTTCAAGCATAAAGGGTTTTAAATAACGCAATTCTTGTAAATAATTCATTGCTATTTCATAGAAATTAGATAATTCTTTCTGTACATCCGTTAATGGTGGTAAACTTGCTAACTCTTCTTCTACTTTATTTAAATCAGTTTGATATTTATCTTCTTTTAAAACTAAACATGATTCCTTAAATGATCTTCGCATCATGGATTGTACAGTAACTAGTTCATTAGTTCTTCTCAAATTTAAAACCATACAATATGTTACTTTAAATTGTGATTCCAGTGTTTTTGATTCACCTTTCATCAAAGGCCTTAATTCAGTAAAATGTGGAATTTCTTTATGACACATTATAATAACTGTTCCAGTTGTGTCGTGGCCTCTTCGACCGGCACGTCCAGCCATTTGAATATATTCGGTAGGAAGTAACATTCGAAATACGTTGCCATCATATTTTTTTATTGAATCGAATACTACTGTCCGGGCTGGCATATTAACTCCCATAGCAAATGTTTCAGTTGCAAATAATAACTATAAGAACAAAAAGGTATCTTTTTTACATTTTCTTTTTACTAAAATATATAACCATTTTTATATATACAGGATGTCTTGTAATTAGTGGTAAAACCAAGTAAGGGCTGATTTTGCATGACAAACTAATTGTAAGTCAAAAAGTAGAATAAAATTTGTTCATACAAAGCTTTGTTTTAGGGAAAAATAAGTTTGAAAATTAATTGAAAATTAAACTTGCAGCTTTATAAACTGAAAGCATTGTTCAATAAGTATAAGAGTAGAACCAATATAAGAAATATCATCGTACTGACAATATTTGTAAAAATATTAAGAAGTACGAAAACGTTCTTCGAAATATCAGAGAATAAGATAGTAAAATTCGCTCGCTTGTATCAGCAGTTACAGGACATCCTATATAGTGTAATAAATTTGATAATAAAATACAAATAAATTACCTTAACAACACCCATTTGGAAAAGAATTTCAACAGTTTCCTTTAAAATGGGTAATATCCCACTATGATGTATACCAATGCCTCTTTCTAAAAGGTTTTGCATCATACAAACTTGTGGTAAATGTTTGTCAGTACCTTTCAAATATTTCATAGTATGCTCGAAGAATGATCTAACTTGCATTTTTTCAACGTGATTAGTTAACGTAATATTTTTTAATTTATTCGCATTAGTATCGCAACGTTTCCTAGACAATGTGAATACAACGACAGGTAATTTGTCCTAAAAGAAAATGCATGTTATCTTTTAGATAAAAGCTCTTAAAATAACAAAATAAATATACTTGTGCTTTTTTGATATCGTACATTTCTGCTTAAAAAATGTACAAAATCATATAATATTTCGTCGTAATGTTTCATATCATCGAAATAATTGTTTCCATCTTTTTTGTCATGCTTTGGAAATTTTTTAGTTGCTGCATACCATCTGTAAAGAAATATGTTTGTACATTAAAATTAATTCTCTAATACTACATTAAATTTATTTTTAATTAAATTTTTATATATATATATATATATATACAAAACTGATAACAATGGATGTGTGTAAATATATATAGATAATAATAAAAGAAATAAAAAATCATTTATTAATAAAAATAAATTTATTACCTATTTAATAAAAATTCTTCATTTTCATCAAGAATTGTAAGTAATTCGCCTTTACTTTTAGTATTATTAGGAATAAACAAATAATGCTTCAATGGTACTGGTCTTTTCAATGTGCTGATTACATACATTTTCCGCTTTTTTATACGACCAACCCAATTTGCAAATATTATCGGTTTCGGCACAGTCGCTGACAACATAACTATATTTACTGTTTGTGGTAAAAGAATCACAATTTCTTCCCATACATGACCACGCTATATATTTATAAAATATCATAATTATGAAACTTTAAATAATATTAAATAATAAATGATAGATAATAAAAAAAAATGAATAAATGATTTAATATGCTATATCTAAGAAATAAAAATTATTACTTTATTATACACATTATAGATAGTAAATAATAATCTTTTGTAAATAAATATTATATGTATATGCAATGAAAAAAAATCAATAATTCGTTGATCTTTGTAATAGTTCCAAAATAATACTTACATCTTCATTATTAATGTAATGTACTTCATCAAATATTACAAATTCCAAATCTCTAAGAACTTCTGATGCCCCGTATATCATTGATTTTAATATTTCTGTGGTCATAATAAGACAAGATGCGGTCTCATTGATTTGAACATCTCCTGTTATTAATCCAACGCTGTCAAATTTTTTTTTAAAATCACGAAATTTTTGGTTTGAGAGTACTTTTATAGGAGAAGTATAAATTACCCTTGAATAATAAAATTACAATTTTCAAATAAATATGTTTAGTTATTTAAAAGAAATTATTAGATTAATTGATAAGTAATACTTACTTTGTTAGGTGTTTTTGAGTTAATGCGATAGCATACTCAGCAACGGTAGTTTTTCCTGCAGATGTGTGCGCCGCAACGAAAACATTACAATTTTCTTCTAACTTAAGTATTGCCTGCTTTTGAAAAGTATCTAATTCGTATTCGAATGTCATTGCTGGATCAGGAATTTTCGTTTTGAAATCTGTTACTGGTACAGATACATCTATTTGTTCTGCCCATTCCATTTCCTCAATTTTATTTGATTGTAATTCATTAGAAATTTTTAAAACTGCTATTTCTTGCTTTTCTGATGGTAATGGATTATCATCTGTTTTAGATATTTCTACAGTTTTCTCTACATCATTTTTCTTTTTCATTTCTTCTTTAGATTCTTCTACATTTGGCCAATCAAGCTTACATTCTTCTTCCTCTACGAGAGCCATTAAATTAATTTTATTTGTTGTATCATCTATAGTTTGTCTTTCTGGTTTTGATATATCAACAAATTTCTCTTTCTTCTTTGGCGTATTATTATCAGCTTCAAATTCTATACCAGAACTGAATCCTTCCGGTAGTGTTCTTAAATTCCTTTCAAAATCAATATCTTCTGTCGTCTCTTCCAATACAACAGGTTCATCGAAACCGCCAGGCCAAAATGGTATATTAGTAATTTTACCTAAAGTCGAATATTACCTTTTATATCAAATTTCATCAAATATTAACACTTTCATTCCGGCACAATCTACCGTGCGCCTATATTCTCTATCAAGTTTATGATCACAAGCTCAAGATTATGGTTTCACTGTGTAGTAGGTTTAACAACAAGTATATATTTTTCTGAAGACATACGATATTCAGAAATGATAATTTTGCTATTCAAAGGGAGGTATGCGCTCAACGATTAAATAAAATTAAAAAAATAAATAAAAAATTGTATCTATAAGGCTTTTCATGAATGCCACCTATATATGGCGCTCAGTATGAAAGGGTGAAATTAACATACAATATATACAAATATTATAATTGTAAAAATATATTTGTTAAATATTTGGATAAGTTAATAAAGTACCTCTAATGTCATCCGTAACAGCTCCAGGTATACGTTTCATTGACATTGAATTTTTCGAATTTTTTCCTACTTCTTCTAACATAATTTCTTGCATTTGTCCAAGACACCCTGTTATTGGATCACGATCAAATTTTAATGTTGTGCCATGCGGTGATAATTCATAATTTAATAAAGAAACAACATCAGGTTCTCTTGGCCAATAACATTGAGCAAAATCAATTTGATGTATCGGAAGCTGTTCAGGGCATTCCACATAATTTTTTAATATGGTATTTATGTTAGGCCAAATTGGTGGGAAATCACATTTTTGCTATAAAGTGTATATAGAATAGATATTACAAAATATATAAAACATTAATATTAAATTAAAGGAAAACGATATAATATCTACCGTATAATATATATATGAAAAATATATCAAATAGGCATCGTAAATATTTTTAAAAACTTACGTCCATTATGAAATATTTTATATTTCCTATCACTTCAGTAGAGGTTATTAATAATATTTACAAGACACAAGTTGTTACTGATAAGATTTGAACATGTATTGAACATGACCTAAAACACCAAAAATAGAAATAAAATATGGTCAAAAATAAATATTAAAATAAAATGTATTCATTTTTTTTGTATATAATTTATTAACAGCAATTTTTTGTAACAAAATCAATTTAATATCTATATGTTCCAGTAATGTTTTAAGGTTATGTATGTTAACCTTTTATTTATTTTCGAAGAACTAAATATTTACAAAACACTTCAATACTCTACAAAAAAAAATTAATTCTTTATAAATTTCATACTCGTTCTATTTGTGCAAAAAACGATAAAATAAAGAAATAAAATTACTTCATAAAATAAATTATAAATGAAACATGATTAGCAATCTTTAATATGACACACTTAAATCTTCTATAACGCGATATAAATAAATCGTGTTATAGGAAAGTTGACAGTTCATAAATACATAATAATTATATCATTTTTATTATTTATATATTTTCACCTTGTATTATTTCAATCCCAAAGCTATTGCTAGTTATTTACAGTTTTCGAAAATGTATATTTCTAACACAATCAAATAAGAAAATTATAGATATTAAATGATAAGATATATATGGAAAGAACAAAAGAAAGAAAAGATTTTCTATCCTTAAGTTAAGAAATATCTATATTTATAATAGAATAATTCAGAGGCAAATAAAAAATAGATACTAGCGAACGAATAAAAGTAGCGTTGTTTGATGAGTTTAGTAAACATATAATACCATTTAAAAATATATGTGGCGCCACAGGTTAATGTAAGCATCGATCCGTCGGAGGGGGCATAAGCGAAAGTAGGATCTACAACCGCGCCCTCTGCTCTGGAGGACAGTTCTCTCTTTTCGTCATTAGGAAGGTTAAAAGAACAGGGGTTGTGAAAGCAATACTTGGTTACTTCTACATCGTAATAGTGCGCCATACGTATACCATATATTTCTTGTACTAATCGATCAACAGTTTGGTAAATTATGAAAATTGAACTAAAGTTTGTAAAAAACTATATAACTTTGATCAACGGGATAATAACGTATCTAGGAAACAGTCTAAAGTACACCATTGAATACTTTTGATATAATAACAATTTTATTTCATTATAATTAAAACAGTCTAAATTCTTTGTGTAATAATACGCTTTTGCATTTACACGTAGATACTCGATAGAAGGTTTAAAACAAACAAGAAAAACTGTGTTCCTTTCATTTTCTTTAAGACAAAAGTGCAAAAAACATTGTTCATTTATTAGTGAAACTTATGCGACACCTGTTGGATTTGCCGTAAAATAAAACGCTAACTTAAAAATGGCGCCACAAAATATATAACTCAAGTAATAATATTTCCTTATAAAAACATTTATTATTATTTATAACAGAAAATTAACAACGTTCATTGTAATACAACCATTTTACATTTGGCGGCATTAGTAGAATTATTATTACCTGAGATTTATGATATAAACAATAGGAGATTGTCGATTAATCGAGTATCAACGTTTTCTCTTTCGACTTTATCAATCTACGATAAATATTTATCAATTAATTTGCTATTTATTCATTCTGTTTTTCTATTTTTCTCTTTTTATAATTTTAAATCAAATAATTTAATAAATAAATAAAGATTGGAACATTATAAAATATATGTGTATATATATCACAGATATTTCATTATCATCATCATCATCATTATGCAAGGAAAGGAATAATATAAAAGAGATATAACTTTTTAAGAGATATAACACTTCTATAACAAAATGCAATAATTCTTTAAAATTGAAATAAAATCATCAAAATCGTTCTGTTTCAACAATCGACAGAACCATTTTGCTTTCTTATATTGTCTATCGATAATTACATTTACAAAACTCTAATTCACAAATACTTCAGCAAAAATAATCGAACATGCCTATTAATAGAACTTAAAATTTATTAAAAATTTAAGCATAAAATATCTTAATATATTATATATGGAGATATTAATATCATTTATACATTACACATTCAGATCATAACTAATAATATTATCATTTCTTTTTTGTAACTATACAAATGCAGAAATATTTTTTTTTTAATTCTTGGCATATATTATCACAATGTTTGCATTATAAAATACTTTTTTCGTAACGTATTATTCTCAAGATAATATGTATATATACAATATTTATTTTGTTTATATACATTTATGTGGAATAATTGATGGCCTGTAAATATAATAATTTTTGTATAAATATATGAGCAATTTATGAAAAAAGTACACAAGATGATAAAATATAATTGAATTTTCGAATGTTTCATAATATGATGGTAAATGAAGAATTATTAAAATAATTGTAAAATAATGATAATTAAAAATATACATTTTTGATAGAATAATAAAGTCTATAACATAACTATATAAATAACATAACCCGATGCAAACAGATAGCAAAACTGAACTGTTTTTATAATGATAATTACTTATGTATTTTACATATTATTATACACATATATATTGTATACATGAGGCAGTCTTAAAGAATAAAAGGAAGGTAATTTATAGATTCAAAATGTGAGTTAGATAAAAGTCTAAAATTTATAATGATCAGCATTAGAAGAAAGATAACTTGTCAGTCAATATAGATGCACAGAATTATTATTATGTAGACTGTCTCAGCAACAAACAAAATTTATATCGGTAGGCCATCCATTTCATTAATAATTACATGTCTTTTTGTAAGAACAATTGGAGACAATGGAGTTTTACAACGAATAATATCAGAACAGTCACTCTTACTGTCAAAAATACACCCGGAGCTACTATTTTTATCACTGATATTTCTACAACTGCACGGTACACGTTCTGGAGAAGAATCTGGATTCTTGAAAGAACTGCATATACTACGATTTCCAATACTTGTACTATCACTATCGCTTTCACTGTCTATGCTAGATGCAGAGCTATCATTCCTTTGTGCTCTTAATGCTTCATTATCTTTTTTTAGTTCTTCATTTTGTTTTACTAAGTCATCTATTCGTTGCTGAAAAATGTTTAATTTTTTTGCTATATCCAATTCTATAATATTCGCTCCATTATTCTTATCGTCTATATTATCTTTTTCTTCCGTCTGATTGATATTTTTCCCACGTAATCTTTTCGTAAGTAAGTCTACTTTGGCCTCTAATTGTAAATACTCTTCTAGTAATTCTGATTTACTCAAAGTGCTCAGTCTTTCCGCATGAAGGTCTTCGTATGCGCTAGAGAAATTTTTAGATAAAAATTCTTCTTCATCCTCTGGAGAAGAAAAAAAGTAATCTTCGTCAGAATCAACGCTAAAGCTGGAATCTCTAGTACGAGGTGGTGGAGGTTTCTGAAAAGTAGTAACTCCAAAATCTGTAGATGTGGCTATGGATAATTTTTGATCAATATCAGGCAAATCGCTATGATCGTTCATAAGAAATTGCGTTGTATTATAAGGTGCTCGGATCTGTCTACTAATTTTTAAAACTTTTCCCATGGATCTACAACATGGTTTTCGTTGAAAACATGCTAGCTGTTTTAAATATGGTTTTAATTTTTTATGCTTAGATTTCCCTCTACGAGTCTTCTTTTTCTTCGTAACTACATCTAAGCCATCCTCTTGCATTCCAACATCTTGCTCTCCGCTACCACTGCCACTTTCAAATTTACCAGATTTTCGAAGCAAAGATTTAGGCCACTGAAATTAAGCAGATTAATCTTCTATACATATTCTAAATATAACGTATTATGCAAATTTCTTTTCTATGTATCTATAAAATATTATTTCGGAGAAATTTATTTAGCGTGATATATCAAATTATAATACTATACAAATAATTTTACAAATTCATCCTTACTTAATTATATATAAATTTAGTTAAATTTTTCACTGAAAATTTTCCCTAATTTCACACATATACATAATTACATCGTAATATTTAACCAACAAACAAATAAATAATAAATTATAATTTTACATGGTAATTCAAAATTTGAATAATCGATTTAAAAAATTCGATAATTAATCGATCTATTTTTCAAAATATTCAATCTTATGGAAATAATGATATTTTAAACGAGATTTGTAGAAGAACAAGGATAATCATATTAAATATAATATATATCATTATTTTTATTACAAAAGAAGAAAAATAGATGAATTTTTATATCATATATTAGTCAATACTCACGTTTTTAACGTTGTAACGGGGCTTACTATCAGCATTTTCGCCGATAGATCGCGACACTTGCCTTGAAGACAGAAGTGATGACGTCGCAGGCGTCGAAACCTCTTTAACGCCCTTCGCGTCGTGTACTCCGATCTCTTGTATAGCGTCCGTCGCTTTTTCCAAATTCTGGTCCTCCATATTCGTTATATTAACCAAAATCGGTCGATTTACGGTGGCACAAGTACTCATCACCGTTAAAAGCACTATCTTATGCACAGCAGTCTTCCTGTTATCACAACTACGTTTCGTACGATTTGACCGTAAACATCGACTGAATCGCCATGTTTGATTTATCCGTGATTCTGTGCGATAGCAAGGGCGACGTGCTAACGCTTCGATGCTTGCTAAAAGAGGGCGCTTTTTCTCCCCACTATCAAACGTTTCTACTTGTATTCTATCATGTTCTCCCTCCTCTTTCTTTTTCCCTCTCTCCTTTATCCCTCTTCACCCTTCTCTCTATATACCTCTCTCTACGTCCGCACATTTCTCTATGTGTTTTTTTCTCTCTCTCTCTCTCTTTCTCTCTCTCTCTCTCTCTCTCTCTGTCTCTCTCTCTCTATTGTACGATCTTCCTTCTTCTACGTTCCTTGAGAAACATGTCTTGCTATGTTTGTACATTTCTCGTTTATACTATATATGTTTAATTTCATACCCCTTCGAATTTATATTTGATCTATGTAGGTTAACTTTCGATAGGAATTAGAATTTCATACATTTAGGTTGTTTTATTCTAACAATTTTCTTTTAGGTGGAGTGCGAAACTTTCTGATTAATAAATCGTTCAAGGTATATTATATATATACATATATACATGTTATTTGCATAATTTGAAGTCAACCTTGCTTTGTCTCTTTGAAATGTTTGCCAAAATTAGCTAACATAAAATATTTTAGATATATATATGCAAATGTCAACTATTTGTGTATTTTAAAGAGCATTTCGCATGTGAATTCAACCAACACGATCGATATTTGCACGACATTGTTCCAGCCGACTCTACAAGGACTACAAATGCAATTATTTGTTATTGTTTTTAAAGAAAAGCACATGAGAGATCCATAATATCGTACGAAAGCAAAAGCAACAAAAAAAAAGTTTGTTGAATTTTATACTCACATCAGTGACAAAACAGCAGAGAACATTTTTTAAATTCGCGCGTGCGCGAAACTTGTAAGACATATTTCGAAAGAAAAAAATTATCATTAATTGAAACTATATTAATATATACATATATATATCAATTATATTTGTACATAATTTATTTGATTTTTAACGTAAATTTATTAGATCAATTTTAGAAGCATTATAATTGAAGTATAAATGAATTAATAAAGGGAAACTATATAATTTGTATCTGTTTATTTTGTTATTTGTATGTAAATATTAGTACATAAAATTTTAATTAGTATTCTTCGTATATTTTAATAATCGCGTGTATACAGAATAATATCAATTAAATGAAATTTTATACGCGTTGGAAGCTTTAATCTTTGTAATGTTTACACTTAAGATGATTAAATCTTACTAATAAAGATGATCCTTGTTTTTAATCTAATTAATGAAAGAAGCATTGAGTATAATTCCGCAATACTCGTAGTTTTAAATAAGAGACTATGCGCCAAGCATAGAATATGTCAAGCATCATAATAATTCATTGATATTTATATTCTACTAAAGAATATATATCATCACGGATAAAAGCATTCAAAACACATTTATCCGGTTTCTATCCTTCTTACTAAAATATTTCGCAAAGAAGAAAATTTATTTTATAATTTTATTATGTTAAACACGTGCATAAGAATGATTGTCGAATAAATAGGGATCATTATCAAATCAATTGTAAATGAGTTTTTCTCTCGATCGTTGTAACATTTATTTTAATCATCATTATTATTGTTATTTCAGTAAATTCGATTACGATTCGATGCAAGTACGGATGAATCATTTTACTAAAAAAAAAACATGAGAAATAACTGATTTATACGTAGTTACTATTTCAAGCTAATAAAATTTTATATGCAATCGTGCAATACAAAAATCTTTTTCATAAATATCATCAATAACTAGATCATCGCATGTGCTATATTGTCTAATATTATATTCATGAATCATTTTTTGAAAAGAAAATGAACAGTAATCGATTTGTATGTAATTATTATTTTTATTATTATTCCAAGGATACGAAACTTTATGGCTTATTTTTATGCATATAACAAGAGCTTTATCATGAACATTATATAATTAATTATATCAACGAGTCTATACATATTTATGGAATTTATTTACATCGTTCAAGAATTTGTAAAAAAGAAATAAACGATCGATAGTTTCGTTAGATATACGTTGATAAAGTATTCTACTTTTTATCGAGAAGCCTTGCTGATCTAATTTTCTACGACTTGTAAGAAGGAAAATAAATCTATTTTCATGATTTTTTGCTTTTTTCTTAACTTTCATTAGCACACGTCAAAAAATGAATCAATTCATAGTAGAAAATCAGAAAAACCGTTTCGGCACGAGCTACAGAGTATTTATTTCGATCAGATGCAGTCATTTTTCGAGATATTTTGTCAATTAGATAAAAAAAATCATAGTTTTGAGATACGGATTTCATAATGATAAGAAATTTGTAACTTTGATAATTATCCAGTATTCGATAAAATTCTTTCACTTAAATATTCTAAAAATGATCGTAGATTAATCAAATGTAATTAAAAATAAACAACCAATTTTTTATAGTAGATACCAGGGAACAAACACTCTTTCCTCTTCTCAAGTACAATCGAATTTAGATATCGAATATTATATATAAATAATAATCGATTAATATTTCTTTGCCAGGTGAATATATACGTCTCTGTTTGAACACTTTAAGAAATACCAAGCTTGTAGATTCTCTATTATGAATTATTTATGACAATTGTCTAATCGACAATGTATTATTGTTTTTATAATTGCGTATATATATATATGTATATATGTATGGTAATGTAACCATATATCGTTTCATGTAAATGTATATATGTATATGTTATGCATATGTATAATCGCATGCGCACACATATACATATTCACGTTTAATAAATATATACAAAGGTTAATCGTCAGCTCATTAGTTGGAATATGCATATGTTCGAATGAAAAACACGTGCGGGAAACTGTTAAGATAAAATATTGAAAGGATCTAGTGGTATGTATCTTAGCCCATAAATAAAAAAGTATATTTTCACGAGTTATAACAGAATATCAAATAATGTCCGACCTAATGTATATTTTTCTTTTCAATAGACGATTATAGCAGAGAGTGGGAGTACGATTGCAAACTACACAAGAGTTTTAATGTACGAACGAACGGAACACACACGTACACATATACGTGAAACACGAGAGATTGTATAGTTCAAAGCAAGCCCAAACAGATTAAAATCGATTTATGGAAATGATGAAATAACGTAATACAATAAATTTAGATTTCAAGGATTAACGATTTACATAAAAAGTCAGTCGTTTTCTCGAGTGAGCTTCGCAAAATTTGCAATCAATTAATCAAATTGCTAATCAAATTCTTTTTCATTCAATTGATTCGTTTCATTAAATGATGCGACCTTAAACAAATAAATGTATGTATGTATGTATATGTATATATATATAAATATATATTACCGGTATATTTTTAAAATAATTAACAAATTACGCTTTGAAAATTTTGAATATAATTTTCTCGTAGTTAACAAAAAGTTTTTAAAAATTACACATAGGTATAACATATGCCTAATATATATATGTCATGTACTATACGTATATGTTGTAAAATAAACAGATAATTGATAAAAGTTCTGTTTTATGGAATTAATAAAAAAAAAAAAAAAAAAGGTAAAATAAACGTATGATAAAAAATATATAAACGTGAGCGTGTAACATTCATGAAAAATGTAAGTATGAATATTACATGTTCTGTTCCTTGTGGGTTGGTAGTAAATGGTGAGAGAGGGAGAAGAAGAATGAGAGAGAGATAGAAGAGGAAGAAAAAAGAGGGAGAGGGAAGGAAGGAAAGAGAGAAAGAGAGAGAAGGAGAGTTGTTGCAGTGTCGTCGAGAAACTCACTAAACGAGTCGGTTACGAAATTTAATCGCTCGGTGAGCGAGGTTATAAATGCACCATGTATATATTGCGATGGTTGCGTGGCTTAGATGTTAGACGGTGATCAAGTTAGAACAAACTTTTAAAACACGATAACACGAGTATGCCGAAGATGGTATAAAAGGGAAGGGTCACGCTAACTTGCTACCAGCTGATTGTGCCGCGTGAAAGTCTATGCACGTAGTAATAGTAGCAATAGTAGTGTAGTAATAGTAGTAAACATATCTCGTACCAATTTCGTTTCATTTCATTTCATTCGATTCGATTGATTTGTATTTTTTCTGTTTTTAAAGTGTCTATTTTTTCATAATTTAGTTCCACGCAACTGGAGAACACATATTCCTTATAAATGCATATATGTATACACATATATACATGTACGCATACTTACTTATATATACCGTTCGAAGCTTTTTACGATATTTTTTTTTGCATGCATCATCCATTGTTCTCGAATAAGAAGTCGGCATTGAAAAAGTTAAAGGGAAGCGCTTGAAAGAAGCACCGTGTTATCGATTGCACGTATATTTGATACTTTTCGACGAGAGTTTGTCATATATATCAACGGGTTAATTTTGGATTATATATTTATCTTACAATTAATTTCATTTTTTTCGAAGTACTTTGACTTACCTATAGATATACTATAAATCTATTCGATTAATTTCTTTTAAACTTAATTCTTTTCTACGTGTCTATATTTATGTGTATTTTCATTTCAGATCTTTGAATAATTTCTTCTTACATATTCTTATTTCACTTTGAATTAATCATACTTTCATTTGAACGAGGAATCGATTTTCCACTTCCGAGTTGTGTTTGTATCGATTCCTCTATCGATAGATATTGATTTATGTTGGAACCACGTTTGAACGTTCAGTAAATACTCGTTACATCAAGTAAATGGGTCAAACGTAAATTCATTATTAATTGTATCGTGCTTCATTGACACGCAACGCCAATTTGACCAATTAAAATACGATATCAAAAAATAATAATAATGATAATAATGATTGTTTTGTTCATCTTTACTTGAATAACCCGAATTAAGCTAGATTAAACTAATTGAAATAGTCATTTTGAATAACGTTTTATGAAGATTAACGATATGAATTGATCAATTCAAATACAACATCAAATAAAATTTAAATATGAAACACAGAAACAATTATAATAATAATAATAATAATTTTTGTTCCTCATTTTATTCAGTTTTACTTTTTAAGTCTGGTTAATTAGAGAATTAACTATTACAAAGCCCCGTATTTGTTGCGTTAATTGAGCACTTGATATTGTTTAATAGCATTTTCCATCCGTTTAACAAAATTAGCATAGGATATTATTGAAATATTGAATTCATATTGTAACAAAACGATTCGTTTTACTAATAGTTATTATTTATACTATAAGATTTGTTACTTTGTTGCTTCTTTTCGATATCAGATATAAAGTAGAAAACTAGATCGTAGAGGACAGCACTAGACATACAAGAGAATCAAGAACGTCTATAGCTGGACTACTCATCCCTGTTCTTGGAAATAAAAAAAAGGATTGCTTTGAATTTGATTTTAAATTTAAAATATAAATATACATCGTTTTCATCGATTTTTTTTTATTTTCATATATTAAATTATTTATAATTACATGTAAAATAATTTATCTTTTAATGAAGATAAATTTCCTTCGTTTTTTTACGAAATGTGTACAATTTCTTATCTTCGAGATAGTTTTTATTTTCAATTTAATTAGGATTTGATTGAAAATGTATTATTACTTTATATGTCATTGTTCGGTTAATTATTATAAATTATTAAACATTTTGATTTGATAAATAATTATTTATAATAATTTTAGAACGATATTTACGTACATACATAAATTTGAACAACAATTAAATTATTAATAGAATGATCTCATTTAATAATAAATATATTTTATATTTATTTCATAAATTTTATATTGACGAGAAATTATTTTATTATATTTTTCGCAACGTTATTTACTGAAAACACATGGACGGATTTATAGAGTAATATCGCAGAGTAAATATTCATGATAAGCGATAGCACGATAGTTAATAAAAATATTTGAAGAAATTATCTTGTCAAAGGATAATCGTCGTATTTCTCTCCAAAATCTACAATTTACTAGATAAAAAAAAAAGAAAATTGCAAACTAATGATAATTATGATTATCACCATTGTTAAAAATTTTTAATAATTATCATTATGAACATGAAGATGATAACACGAATAAATGATAAAATGAATGTGATAATATAAATAAATGATGATGAATGACGAATGATGAAATGAAATGACAAATTAATATTAATATCAAAAAGAGAAACGTGTCAGGAATATTAAAAATGATTTTAATACATTTTTTTATTTTAATTTAATCTACGAAATTTTAAGGTTGATTAACATCTCTAAAGTCCTTCGCGTAATACTAGACAAACAATTCATTTATACGATTTTTGCAGAATATGTGTGTGAAAACGCGTTGGGAGATTTTAAAATAATAAAATATATTTTGTCTATAATTACGTTGCCTCATCGTCTATGTGGCAGAAATAAATAAGCCAATGATTCGACTCTCCGAAAAAACTTGTGAATATTAGTTTTATACATACATTCACATATTAATACACATCAAAATTTATTTACATAAATACATACATACAAAATGTACTTATTTACATAAATACGGAACGTATAAACATTACATACATACATTATATATACATACATACAATACGTAGATAAATATATATAGAAGTAGTTATATACACACACATATATTTGTAAAAGAGCAAAGTTGCTAGTGACTATAAATATATTTGATCGTCCACCCAGGAGACTTCTCTTTGCACCTTGGTGCCTTTTCTTCTTATTCTTTATTTTTTCATCCGAATATACCATGTTCTCCATCTGCGTTCTTTGCCACAGTGACTCTGCTTATGTATTATATATATATATATATACGTAAAGACAAACTTTTAAAAGGGAAGACTCCAACTAGCAGCTGCTCTTGCGACAAAATGCGAGTTAAAATTTAGATCTCCAACTCTGTTATAGTTACGCAATTCTCTTTCTCTTTCTCTTTCTCTTTCTATCACTTTCCTCTTTCCGTTACTCCTCTCCTCCCTCTTTTTCCCTTTTATCGTCATGGCTAAACATCTTCGTTTCATGGTGAAAATCACGAAGAATCATCATTCTCAAAAGTAGAAGCTGAGATTCGATAATTTTATAGATTTAAATGTCATATTTCCTTCCTTTCACTCATTAAAATCTTTCGAAGATAAATTATTATATTTCATCGTTTAACCTTGATCGTTGGAGATTGAACGATTAATTATAGTTTACGTTTTTCGATTTGACATGAAAAAAATATTCTTTTCGTTTTGTTCATTTCTTGAAACCGCATCTATATTAATTCGATAAGATATTATTCTAATAGAATTTTAAATGAAACAGAGAGTACACGTTAAAATTTTAATTAAATAAACAAAATAATAATCTAGTAAATCTCAGTAAATTTTTATTTTTTTTACATATATACAATTTTAATCGTTTTGTGAAATGAAAAAGTAAATTTTGATAACGTAAATCATAAAAGTTTCATATTATCAATGTTAAATGGAATTGTATGTGTTTAGAAATAAAAATGCAATTTTCTCTCGCTTTATATTTTTCTTGTGTGTCTATTCGAGACGATTTTTATATTTTTCTTGGCGATACGTACGATTATGTAATATTTTTCCATAGCTTTTTTATTATCTTTACGTAAGTCGTGTAAATATCGATATTCTTCTTTTATTATTATTATTATTATTATTATAGAAAATATAGGATTCGTTAGAATAATAGCTATGTGCCAAGAAAATGAAAAAGGAAAATTATTAAATATGAATTTATTACTTTATTTACAATTATATTAAATCGCGTACAATTTAAATTAAACAAGATAGAGGTAAAAAAGAAAAAGTCAGTTCAACCATTATAATGTTTAACCTTCTCATATTTGTCATACTGATATTAAATTTATTACCGTCGAAAAAAATAACAAATTGACTTTTATCGAAACTGAAATAAATATTCAATTATAATTTTATTTAAAAGATTATTTAAACTTTTTATTTATTTCTTTCATTTTTTTTTAAATATTACAATTGCAATTGTTGAATATACATATATTAAAAAAAATGTATATATTAATTATTTATAATTATGCCAAATATTTAAGTATTTGCTAACTATTCTAGCTAAATATATATTTACTGATATAAAAATTATTATTATTTTTTTTTATTAACAATTCTCATGAATTTTTTCATTCGACCAATTGTTTACGAATTAATATTTTCAAATAGAGATCGAACTATCGACTTTCTTATAAATAAACAGTAATCGATTATTTAACAGGTGCTTCCCTCTGTTAATGGTAATAATTACTATTAACTGAGATAAGTTAGTTTCAGTGAAATTCATCCAGGTGGCTAGATTAGTTCGACCGCAAATTACAAATGAACGAAACTTGGTCTGTGACAAGTTTCACCTTGTTTCTAAATCTTTAGTAAAATGGTAAGAATAATAAAAAAAGTTTAGTTAAAAACACAATTAACATTTGCATTATTATTTATTTATTCGATTATCAATTTATAATATGCATTCCTAAAGTTATTAAATAAAATTTAAATTTGACGATCACATGATGTTAAGAAATAGAAAGGTATTAATGACGTATTTTATATTATATTTTTTCGAAATTTAACGTTTCCTATTTAAAAATTTGAATTTTTAAATTATTTAAATACTTACGTACATGGAAAAATCGTTTATTATTATTTTCTATAAGAATTTCAGAAAATTGATTCTGATGTATAGGTTAGATTTTTGCATTGTATTTATAGTTTTAAGTGAAATTTATCTGTTGCAACATTGTGTAATGATTTCATATAATGTAATAGTGAAGAAATAATTAATGAAATAAATACTTCTTAATAATAATATAATAATAATAGTAATTTTTTAAAATAATTAATTAGAAGTTATATTGTCAATAGATATCAGATAATTTATAACTAAAATTCATATTAAAGTTAATTGTGCTTAAATAATTTATTGATTAAATATAACTGTAACTCGTGATACAATCAAGCAGGGAATGATTTCACATGAAAAACTAAGTAAAAAATGTAGATTAAAATATCCTGTATATTTACAATTTACTTTGTCTTAAATTTTGTTTATATTGATATTTCATATATTATTTCAGGCTACTTCGATGATAGTAGCAGGTTTAAGCATAGCCGCTATAGGTTATGCTGGACGTTATGTGCTTAGAAAGATGCCAGCTTTATCACAAACTATGACGGAAACTTTAAAAAATATGCCTAAATTGAATTCTCAAGTACTTATTTATTTTTTTTACTCATATCATATAAGAATGAATTTTACTTAATTTGTTGTTACATTGTATTTTTTATTTTTGTGCCAGTCGTTAGCAAACAGCAGATATTATAAAGGCGGTTTTGAGTCTAAAATGACCAAACGAGAAGCTAGTTTGATATTAGGAATTCCACCGAGTGCAAACAAAGCAAAAATTAAGGAACATTTTAAAAAAGTAATGTCCGTTAATCATCCTGATCGTGGTGGTTCTCCTTATATCGCGGCAAAGATCAACGAAGCTAAAGATTTACTAGAGAAATAATTTTATATATTAAATTAGCAAATTTTCTTTAAAAAAAAAAAAAGAAAAAATTTCAGCGTGTGTATATACTTGTAGAAATATAAACTATGTATTACAAATAATTTAATATCTATTAAATAAATTCTTCATATTGTACATTCATAGCGAGGTTACATTACAATTAAATATATACATTTAAGATAAAGTATATAATAGAATTAATAATTCTTAGAATAAATTTATGTCTAATTACAGATGTAAAGTAAACGATAATATAAAAAATCAAATTTGAAAGAACTATGTATTATTTAACTAAATAACATTTAATTGATATTTAAAATGTGAAAGGAACTATAAAATCTCGTAGACCATTTGTTGTATGATTACTTGTATTGCATACATCATACGTTCTTGTTATTATCATAATTCTTTTACAATAAAGTCGTTTAGATCTTCGGTCCAAAATAAGTCAATTAATTCAACTATATATTACAATGCAATCTTATAATATTCTAATTATAAATTTATATTTACAACATTACTAAGTGCTTATATAATAATAATAATAATATAAGTTTACTTTTATCATATCAATTTTGAAACATGAATTAAAGGACTAGATTATTTCGGTGGATATTGGGTATCCTTTTCTAGATACTATCGTCTTAACTTATTATCTTTTTGTTCAATTCGTTGTTGTGTAACTTTTGTTCGTAATTTGATAATTGTGCTACCAGGCAGTGATCCAGGTACTTTAAAAATACTCTAAGAAAAATTTAGAAATAAATATTCAAATTAATATATACACTCGTATAATTATTTTGACATAAGTATTTACAAAAATAAATATCTTACCTGCATGAAATCATGACATTGTAAAACAATACTATCTTTCGTAATTTCTTTAAAACATTCAGCCAGTAAAGTAAAATCTTGACAAGCTAATAAATTATCTTTGTTTCGTTTAATGAGGGTCAATGCGACACGAAATATTATTTTCGTACCTTCATAAAATAGACAATCCCATATACGCAATGTTGTCTGCACATTTCAAATGATTAAGTGAGTATTATTAAAATAAAAGGTATATTCTTTTAAAATTTGTATTTTTTTACCTCGATTGGTAAAACTTCTGCGAATAAACACACGAACCACTTAGTTGTAATCACCGGCCAGGGTAATCCTAAATTTGTTACATGTTGATAGATGTCCGGCATTTTTATTCTAGAGTGAGATTATAAATGTAGAATATCCCAATGTGTTGGCCAATAGTCTAGTTTTATACAATTCATAGAAACAGATTCTTATTCGGATTTAGAAAGAATGACTATGAATTTAATGACTTTAAATAATTAATGTTTATCTTACCTAACTAATTCTGCCAGTACATCTATGTCAGTAAGCAGTCCATCCATCGTTGGAGTGTAGTAATCAGGTAAAATCTTATCTATCAATACTTTTAATAACCAAAATGCTGTTTCCTCACTTTTAGTTACTAGTAAAAGCAATCCTGCAATGTAATTGAGACCCTAATGAAAGAAAAGCATGATATTATTGATTAGAAAATATTTTTAAAAATATTTATAATTTCATTTTTGTTAAATTGAAGCGTACAAGTAAAAAACTTACTTGACAATATCCCACAGTTTTATTTTGGTGAGCAAATGCCAACAAAATATTGTACAATTGGTGTTGTTGATTTTCAGTATTATTAAAAAAAATATTATCAGGAAATGTTCGTGGGAGATCAGTTTTGATGACAGAAGCAATTTCTGCGTTGTGTGGAGGTTGTAATAATTTTTCATAAAGATCTGGTGCTGCGTGTTTCATCTCGTCTCCTCCACTAATAGAAAGCCATACCTAGTATAGAAATAAAATAGTAATTAATAATTAAAGTTTTTGCAAATTAATAATATTTCCATGAAATAAATTCTATAAATTGGTAATAAATTCTTACCTGGCCTCTATATTCTCCTGGAATACCTTTGCGAACATATCTTTTTATCATAATACATCGTTGTAAGGATTTCCCTTCGCCAAAGATTTCTGCCCATTTTTTGGCACGTTTTGCAAGAACTTTAAGATATTCGGACATAAATTCTTCGTATGTTTCATAATCAAAATTTTGAGGTCGTTCAAAGCCATACTCGTCCACGTTACTGGAAACATAAAATATTTGCATTTTTCATGTGACAAACAAAATCATGAACATACACAAATAAACAAATATCAATAATATACATCCTACTAAATTAAACTAAAATATAACAAAATTGTTTAATATACTTAAGTTTGATCAATGTATAGATAAATCTATTTTTTATCTTAATAATACAATTAAAATATTTAATAGCAAATAATAAAACATAATAGAAATACAATGTTAATTTACTTACTTTAATTTAACAACCACTAATATAACAAATATAACCTCAAGAAGTGCAGGTAAATACAATGAAAAGAATATAAAGTAAGAAAAGAGTTTAAAACTGACAATGTATCGATTACTTAAATATATGTATAGAAAAACAAATGTAGAACGATATTAAACAATTAAGAAACGCAGAGCTTTAGACACACTCACCTAAAACATGAACTTGCCATACCCTAAGTACGACGATAGGTGTCAATTTACAGCTGTAATATATATGTATATACTAAATCATACTCATACAGATGCACAATGATTCACTAATATATATAGATATATATGTGTATTACCAGAATCGTTTCTACATTTTGCAAAGCCCTGTGCAATATAGAAAAGTCTTGAAAGTTAGTAATGTTTATGAAAATTTTAAATGGAAAAATATCTTGTTAATTATTTCATTAAATCTAATATGAAAAATACATAAAAATAATTCGCTTACTATACCAATAATAGTTGGTCGTAAATTATATACACATATATATTTCTACATAATAATATTTTGTTTATAATAATTACAGTAATAATTTATATAATATAATTTAAAAAAAATTAATTTATTTCTTTTTTCAATGTTCATGCATTCTGCCAATAGCACGAGGCCCTGTGCCACCGCACAGTTCGCACATCCATGAATACGGCCTTGTTATTACATGTATCAAATATTCTACACCTTACATATAAGCATTAGATAAATTCTCAAATAAAAGAGAGTGTACAGATAAAAATGCATTTTTCAAAATATTATTTATTAAGAAAGGATAGAGGTGTAGTTTTTCGATTTATCGATAATTTATCAAAATAAACGATTTTTTTATTCAGTAATAATTATACTATTTCGTAATATATAATTTTATCGCTTGAAATTATAAAAAAAGAAGAAAAATAAATATAATATATAGATTATATCGTGTGTTGAAAAAAGAAATGTATTAATATTAGAATCAAAGATAATAAAGATTCCTCGAAGTGCTATATTTGATAAGCATAATATATATAAATGACTTCTGAGAACTTAGCGTTATATATAAATAATATAATATATTACAATTAATATTAATCGCGTGCGCGCGTAATGTTTTAGAATTACAGAATAAGTATTTTAATTTTATTATAATTAATTGAATTTATTTTTTAAAATTGTATTTAATGATATATACATATATATATATATATATATATATATATATATTTACTATAATAATTATTCTTAATTAGTTAGTATAAATATATTTAAAAAAAAAAGATATAAATCGATTGTAAAGTCAAACACAAATCGTTTACAATCGTGAGTTGTGTCGATGTTCGATATTATGATACCACATGGTAACGGAGGTAAAATGGCGTTAACTGTCCCCTGCGTTGCTGGTAAGCAATTTCTTAATGTTTTCATAATAATTCATATTTCCTTCGAATTTGAATGATTAACGTTTAATTACTTATTTAAGAAAGATCATTTTTCCATAATATACTCGGGTTATTTATTCTATTTCATTTTCAATTACATGACATCTCGCAATTCATTCTTCCAAAATGCATCATGCGGTATTAATTTACTCAACTACTCTCTGATAATTATCTGTATTATTTATTATCTTTAACGATATATGTATCACCTAAGAAAGAATTTCTTTTCTGTTCTCATTTAAGAAAAATGTTAGAAATATGTTAATTTATCTACACATGCATTGCATACGAGTTGCATATGTATAACCTTGCTTTTTTTACTATTTCCAAGTAAATTCTTTCTGTATTATTAGTTTAACCTAATTCGTTCATTTATTTTACTATCGATTGTATATATATACTTTAAATGTTTTATTTAATAATTTAGTTTAATAAGATTAGTAAATAGTTTCTAATATATATATATATATATATGTATATAAATATTAAATAAATATTTGGAAAAATAAGTGTTAATTTGTATTTGAAACTTTAGTACGAGGTTCAACTGGTATCAGTTTGGGGCAAGGGCCACCTTCCTATGAACCGGTGACGACATTTCCTAAAGATGATAGTAAATTATGCAGAGTTATGTTATTTAGTCCAGATGGACGTTACTTCGCATGGACCAATGGAACCTGTGTTAAAATCGTCCTTTGTAACACATGGAAAGTTATCAAAGAAATTAAAAAGCCCAAAGTTAGTGCTATACGATTTTCCAGTAAGGGGACATATTTTATGACGTGGGAGCCATACACCGGTATTTTATATAATATTTAAAATATCTTTTACTTTTTATCTTATTAAATTACAATATTCTATGTTTCTTAATGAATTTCAGCAACATTAAATAATCCTCAAGGATCTCCTAATCTTTACATATGGAAGACAGAAAGCAATGAATTAGTGAAGAGTTTTGTACAAAAAAAACAGAGTGATTGGTAACGTATCATTTTTTTTTAAATTAAGCACTTTATATTCTTTAATGTCTTCCAACATTTGATATGCATATAATAGCACAATTAGTTTCTTTTTTTTCATTATCGTATACCTTTATTTAAGAAAAATCTTTAAAAAAGTTTGTATTAACACGTTCTTAACCACGTCACCCATATATCGGTGACGGATATGAATACGGGGAGTCCCGTCACCCAGACATTATGTTCTAACGCATCGGTAGTCACATTTGGGCTCCGCGAGAAACTCAACCAAATCATGATGGGCGACGAACGTGTTAAAAAGACATTTTTGTTAAGCATGACATATACATTACATCTCTAATTTTGGTATATATTTTCATTAAACGATATTTTCTTCAATAGCGATCGCTACGAAATTTTAGATCTTTTTTTTATTAGCATAGTGCTATACGAGTAATAATATATTACAGATTTTTATGTATGATATGCAAAATATATTTTTTTTTAACTTATGATATAATGCCTATACGTATGTCTCAGTAACGTTTTGCTTAAATTATTCTTCTCTATTGTTGTATGCTATCGTACGATAAAAAGAAAACTTTTGCTTTAGGATGATACATTATTTCACATTTCATATTTACGTGCAATTTCTTCATTTGTGTTGCATCCACTTAGGGAGCCTCAATGGTCAAGCGATGAGAAAATCTGTGGAATATTGATGGGTGCAGATGTCATATTTTATGAAGATGCCAATTTTGAAAAAATTGTACACAGGATAAACATAGCCACAGTTGCTAAATTTAGTATAGCGCCCAATAATGCTCCGTACCACATCCTTTGCTATGTGCCTGGTAATTCATGTCATGCTGATGTAACATTAATACATAAGTTAATTAAATTCATTGATAAACGAATAATACGATTACAAGCAAGCAAGAGTATTTTCATGTTATGATTCATTTATTATTTTTGTATTTAGAATTTTTCATTTTTACAATCATCTAGATTTTAATTGTTTATATTCCAAATCACTCATTTAGATAAATTGAATTTTTTTAGGAAAATCAGGTCAACCCTCGCTCGGTAGACTATTCCAGTATCCAAAGTTCCAATCAAAGCAAGCTCTGGCTAATAAAAGTTTCTTCCAGGTAATATTATGAGATTATATATTATGTATTTATGCGATGTAAAAATGTTTTATATAAACATAATTTTGTATTACTAGGCTGATAGGGTAGATATTTATTGGAATCAAAAAGGAACAAGTGCTTTATTAATGACCAGCACGGAAATGGATAAAGCTTCCTATTATGGAAAACAAACTTTACACTACGTTAATACAAAAAGTGAAACTGCAATGGTCATGTTCAGTAAGTTAGATTAGAAATATTATTTTCCTTACACGTTTTATATAGATTATTGTATTATAAATCATTATTACAAGTTTAATGCATGCAACAATTTCTCATTAAATATATTTTGAATACAGGTAAAGAAGGTCCTATTCATTCAGTGCAATGGTCTCCAAAAAATACTGAATTCTGTGTTGTTTATGGTTTTATGCCTGCTAAAGCTACACTCTTTAATCTTAAATGTGAACCAATATTTGAGTTTGGTGCACTGCATAGGAATAGTATATATTATAATCCCCATGGAAACAATATCCTTTTTTTTACTTAAAAAAGCTGTTTATTAAAATGTTCTTACTTAAGAATTTCTATTTTATAGATCGAAATGAATTGATTTGTAGGAACTCTACTTATATTATATTATCCTTAACTACAGTGCACTTATGATCTTAGCTGGTTTTGGTAACCTTTCTGGTTGTATTCAATTATGGGATGTTGTTAATAGAAAACTTATTGCCGAAATCTCTGCATCTGATACTACTCTACTAGAATGGTCACCAGATGGTGAACATTTTATGACAGCTACCACAACGCCTAGATTGCGAATGGGAAATGGGTGAGTAGTGATATTTAAATATAATTGTTACATTCATTAAATAAATATATTTGAGCTAATATATTTATGTAGATTTAAATTGATATTTATTTTATTAATAATAATAGGTTCAAGATATGGCACTATAGTGGAACATTATTATATGAACGACCATGGAATAAACAAGAAGAATTATGGGAAGTTCTTTGGCAAACATTTCCTTCTGACACATTTAAAGAAAAACCGATTAGTTACAAAGCTGTAGAAGGCATCGCGCCAAGTCAACCGCAAGGTAATTTTATTATTATTTTATTATTTTTATTATTATATATTTTTTACTAATATATTATTTTAATTATTTATTTATTTTAAAATTTTATATTTATACAGCTTCGAAACAAGTATATAGACCACCTTCCGCTAGAGGACAAACTATAACTTTTAAGTTACACGACGATGAAGAGTTTGGTTCAAAACCCACTTCAGATCGTAAGTGAAAAATTATGTTATATTATTAAATATTGTCCTTTTTTATTTTCTTTTTTTTTTCTTATTGTTTGTATAAATAATACTAATACAAATTTATAGCTAATCCATCAAAAGCTGCCTTAAAAGCAAAAAAGAAACGCGAAGCAAAAAAAGCTAAAAAAGAGTTGGAGTTACAAACGAGCATAAATTCAGCTACTAGTGGGATGTTTTCTCACACAAGTAATCCAACTACCAATGGACAGATCTCAAATAATTCATCAAAAAATCAAAGTAATGCTGTTGCATCTGAGTCAGATCTTACGGAAGATCCTGAGAAGCAAAAGAAAATAAAGAAACTTAAGAGCGTAAGTAATTTATACATCTGCAAGAAATATATAAAAGTAATCAAAATAAATATATATCTCGATTGTAATGTCTGTTCGTCTTTATTTTAGAAATTAGATCAAATATCAAAATTGAAAGAACAGTTGTCAGCAGGGAAACAATTAGAAATCAATCAATTAGAAAAGATCAAAAAGGAAGCAGAGTTAGTAAAAGAACTGGAAGAACTTATTTTGTGATGAATTGCTGAAATATTTTCAGACAGAGACAGATTTAAATAATATATTACCTGCAAATATTTCTCACAAAGAAGAGAAACAATCTTGATATTTGTTTCACACTACGCTATCTAAGAGACACGATTAAGTCAAGTAAATCGGTTTCTCTGCAAATGGAGTAATGGGAACAATTTGAAATTGAGTTGGTGAACTCTTAAGTCAGTTTACAAATTATTGTGGTTTCTCTAAATGTGAAACAGAAATTGCATTTGTGAATTGATATATAAAT